TCCCTGGGCTCACTGAGCTGCCCCGCAGCCACCAAGGGGCGCTGTACCCCCACACGAATCAAGTCTCTTGGTTACTATCTTTGCTTCAGATCCCTCAAGGACTACTCATAACCCAGGGCCCCATCTGCCCCACCAGCCTTGGCTGCTGGACTCCAGGAAACTATTCTGGGTCTCAACCATCCTCTCTTCCTATGACCGCCCCACTACTCTAGAGTTTGTCCTTCAAGTGTGGGCTCCTGTGGCTTGCCACACAGCAGGGGTCTCCCTGACATCCACCTTAGGTAACTGAATTGTCCTGCACGGTGCCTAGCAAACCCGTGTGGAGGCAGGAAGAATACAGAACAATAAGTGCTCAGAGGGGCTGCCTTTCCCAATGCAGGGGCTCTAGAGAGCTTTCTCCAAGCTCGTTATTCAGAGGCGCTGAAGCTGTGGAATCTCGATCTCACCAATTTAAAGGGCATCGTCACTAATTACAAAAGCAATCATTTCTTCAGAAGCAAAAGGAGAAAAGACTTTGTGTTCCCCACCTCCAACTTTTTTCCTCCACCTTCAGATGTTTCTCATTTCTGGGCAAGGGTAGAAAGCAACTCACAGAATATTATTTTTCAATATTTTTTCCCACTCTGAAGATTGCTTTTCCAGAACCGATGAAGGCTAGAATGGTTTAGCTTTCCTGGACTGAGTATTCAGAGGCCTGGAGGGGAGGGGGAGGGTGGAGGTGAGATAACTCAGCAATATTGAACCTAACAGAGACATTAAATGTTCTATTCTAAACAGAAAGGAGGCAGGACGCTATAGAAACAGGAAAACCATAGTTGGAAATGCAATAACAAGTTATAAGAGAATAAACATAAAGATGTAAAAGTGAAAAAGGACATCAAAATAAAAAAAGGTGGGAATGGGAGAGGGGAGCAAGAAAATATAGATTTTTTTCTTTCTTTTTTTTCTTCGTTACCCTTAGGATGTGTTGGAGCCTACGTGATTATCAGTCTAAAGGAAACAGATATAGTAATGGGTTGATATATTTGAAGAATAACGTAACCACAAATCAAGAGCATACAATAGAGTCACAAAAAAACAAAAAGAAACAAATTCAAAATGGCGTAAAGACTTAAATATTAAAGACACTATAAACTTCTAACAAGAAAACAGGCAAAACATTATTTGACACACATCTCAGCAATGTTTTCCTAGGGCAATCTAAGCAACCCAAGCAACATAAATAAAAGCCAAAATAAATAAATGAGACCTAATTAAACTTATGAGCTTTTGCACAGCAATAGAAACCATAAGTAAAACAAAAAGACAACTTATGTAATGGGAGAATATATTTGCAAAAGATGAGACTGACCATGGCTTAATTTCTAGACTATATAAATAGTTCATACAACTTAATAAGAAAAAAATAAACAACCAAATCCAAAAATGGGCAGAACACCTAAACAAACAATTCTCCAACGAAGACACACAAATGGCCAATAGGCATATAGAAAAAATGCTCAATATCACTCAATTATCAGAGAAATGCAGCTCAAAACTACAATGTTATCATCTCACACCAGTCAGAATGGCCATCATTCAAAAGTCCACAAACCATAAATGCTGGAGAGGCTGTGGAGAAAAGGAAACCCTCCTACATTGTTGGTGGTTATATAGTTTGGTGCAGCCACTGTGGAAAACAGTATGGAGATTCCTTAAAAGACAAAAAACAAAAAAACAAAAAAATCTTATCACCTAATCCAGCAATCCCACTCCTGGGCATTTATTCAGAGGGAACCTTAATTCCAAAAAATACCTGCACCCCAATGTTCACAGGAGCACTGTTTACAATGGCCAAGACATAGAAGCAACCTAAACGTCCACTGACAGATGACTGGATAAAGATGTGGTATTTCGATATAACAGAATATTACTCAATCATAACAAAGAAGAAAATAAGGCCATTTACAGCAACTTGGATGGAACTGGAGATTATCTCACTAAGTGAAATAAGTCAGACAAAGACAAGTATCATATAATATCATTTTTATGTGAAATTTTAAAAAAATGATACAAATGAACTTATTTATAAAACAAAAACAGATTCACAGACTTATAAACCAAACTTAGGAGTTTGGGATCAACAGGTACAAATTACTATATGTAAAACAGACAAACGACAAGGATTCACTGTAGAACACAGGGAACAATATTCCGTATCTTGCAACCTATAATGGAAAAGAACCTGAAAAATAATAGGCTATGTATATGTACAACTGAATCACTATGCTGTATACCTGAAACTAACAAAACAGCTGTATATCTGAAACTAACAAAACATTGTAAATCAATCACATTTCAATTTGAAAAAAATTGATAAGCTCTAAATACCTTTATTCAAAGAAAATCTTGAACTCTTCCTTCTTAGAAAACTTAAAATGGGTAGCTTAAGCAGGACCAAATTATACTGGATGGGCAGTTACATATCTTCTCCAGCACGTGGCCCATGCTACACACGCATCGTGTTTTACTACAGGTAAGAACAGCCCTGAATGCACAGGGAGCGAGTCCTTCTGGGACAAGGCCTCTGTGGCAGTGGCCTCCTTGTCACCGCTCCATCTCACCAGAAGGCCAGGGTTTTCAGAGGTGAGGGGACATAGAGCTCATACACTTCAAATTGATTTCCCGAAAAAACTATGGAAAAACCAAATTCACCTGCAGTGTGGGAAACATGAGCATGGCCCCTAAGCAGACCGGCAAGCCCAAAGTAAGATGGCCCGATGTTCAGATAGGAACCAGAACAACGACCACCTGGCCCCAGTTAAATGACCACCACCTCACCTGCAATGAACTGCTCGTACTCAATGTCAGGGATGTTTCTGTTGAGACTTGGGAGGTCAAAGGAATCCGACCAGGGAATCCAGACCTGGTTGATGTCGGGGCTCTGCCAGTGGTAGAGGTGGCCCCAAGGGGATAGCACCAGTACCGGCTCCTCCATCTTCAGCAGGGTCTTCAGCAGGAAGGCAATGTGGATGCACACGTTCCTACGGAGGCTGATGCCCTCTGGAGGGTTCAAGTCACACAGAAAGTACCTGGCAGGGAGCAAAGGAGTGCGGGTCTTCAGGGCCAGGCCTCTGCACAGGAATCCCGGCTTAGATAGAACACATACAACGGGAATCCCTGCATAGCCCATGGCCTAGACTCCAGACACATTCAGCAGCTTCTGGTTTGTAGAATGGAGGCACTGTCCACCCATCTCCATGTGGCCAATTACTTCAAGTCCGGGAACAGTTGCGGAAGACACCTTGGCGTCTGTCTAACACCACTAAGCACCTGACTAGCACCTGAGCACCCGTTCTCCAGGGGCTCTCAAACTTCTTGTTCTACAGAACCCTATGCACTCTTAACAATTACTGAGAACTCCAAAAGGCTGTTATTTATGTGAGTTAAATCTATTAATATTTCCTGTGTTAGAAGTTGAATAAGAAGTTAGAAAAAGTGTATGAATTCACTTAAAAATATTAACAATCCACTGTATGGTACCATTAATACTCTTAAACAAAATATAATTCTACTTTCCAAAACAAAAATCATTAGTGAGAAGAATAGCAGTGATTTTAATTTCTGCAAATCTCTTTTGGACTGGTGAGAGCTATCTACCTCTGCATTCTCAGTTTTGTGATATCACAGGCCAGGTTTTCCCTGGAAAACCCCACAGGAACTTGGGACAGCAAGAGTGTGCAAAAGGCAGGTGACATCCCGGCGTTTCTATGAAAATGGTCTTGCACCTCAGTGGCCTTGGATACACTTTGATAACTGCTGCCCTATCCTAGGCGAGACTCTTCTGCACTAGAGCCAGGCAAGGGTCCTGGATTCTGTAATGAGTTACGGCCACCACACCCCTCCCTTCTCTGTGTGTCTCTCACAACCTCCATTAATGCAGATGAGGATATAATCCTCAACAGCGGCCTCTAATCCCAGAAGACTGCTAACTTCAAGAGAGAGGGACCCATTTACCATCCCTACACCCCGCATAGTTTATTTTGAGTCAAGCCCTAGATAACTGCTTATCGGCACTGACCCTTGTCTTATTCCTGAGGTTGACTGAAGGAACCAATATCTGGATGGAACTGAAATTTCCCTGCAGATAAACAAGGCTGATAAACCACCCCATTCCAACATCTGATTCTGGGGCTCTTCAAAACCCGGGTAAGGCCGCGCTTCATATAAGATGGGTCCTCCGCCTGCCGTTCCCGGGGGGTTCTGGGAGGCCGCGGCCACCAATGGCGACCCAGACTCGAGGCCCCAGCCCCAGGGCCTGAGGGGGAGGAAAGCTTGAGGCTGTGCCCAAGCCCTGCCCCGCCCCACCCCAACACGCTCCCCGGCACCACAGCCCTCCCCGGCCGCCACCCCAACCCCGATTCC